CTCTCTCTCTCTCTCTCTCTCTCTCTCCTTTCCCTCACACATAACTCTGTGGAGTGTTTTATATGAGGGGAACGGAAGTGAACTTTCTCTGTGAGCAGAAATTTTCACTGAAACTTGCCGTTTGATAATATCCGTCGGTCGGAGGGGGCGAAGGGGGAGTCGGGGTATATGTGATATAAGGCGGTGGTATAAATAGCGAACCCCCGTCTGTAAAGGCAAACCTGCAAATTGCTTGAAACCCGTTATATGTATGCGAAAAATGATTTGATTTGATGTGACGATCGCTTAATACATGTGAAGCGATGCCACGAAAAGAGGAAAAAACTTGTGTCTATCCTATCATATGTATAGTCAGTCGACACCCGCTATAAGAGCCGATCGGCATAACAGTGTGTGACATACAGTGTGCTAAGGGATGGCAAGTGTAGGTATAGTTTAGGTATCACTTGTTGGCCACAATAATAGGCCACACATTGAGAGAAGCGATATATTGAACACAAAAGGTATTTCTTTTTGGGACCAAAACTATTTCATTAACTCAAGAATTTCCTCTCATTTTTGGGGCCAAAACACTATAATCTGAACACTACTGGAGCTGTTGGGGAGAGAGGAGTGCTCTCACATACAGTACACACTGTTATATAGCATAGCATAGCTGTAGAGCTGTAGTGCTGTAGTGACTACAGTGTGTACTGTAGTGTTGTGTGTGTTGTGCCCTCACATCCCTGTGCTCTCCCTTTGCGACTTGTAGTGAGCGTTGAGTGCAGTGTTTGTTCACAACCTCTCATAGAGTGTATGTATAGTGTATTCACTGTATTGTAAGCCATATCTCATTCATTGATAGTGAGGCTGAGCGACAAGACCTCAACAAATCGGCCATCTTTTGGTCGATACCTCTCTTGTGTCTCATTTTGTGTCAACATTTGAGTGGATTATCCATCGGTTGTTCAACTCATCGCCACTGCCATCGATGGCCAACACGTGGACGATGTGGTCACTGATGGCCGTCATTATGGTCTCACTTGTGATGATCGCCTCAACCAATACATCCGCTGCTAATGTGGACACCACTCGTGAGGTCAGGCCTACCATTCATTCATTGTTGTCATTACTATCAAAGACATGACTTTTATTGATTATTTTGGCCACAAGTCATCCGCTGTTTGTGTTTTCAAGTCATTTAAAGCCATATTTGTGTCCAAATCTCTTTGTTTTGTTGCCATTTGTCTCACACTTATGGGCCTATCGTTTGATCCATTGATGAACTTAAGGCTCTCTCAGTCTTATCTCAAATAAATATATAGTTTAGGTATTAAGTGATGCTTTTGAATGGCTTTTCGCCACAAAAACAATTACAGACATAAAAATTAATGTTTGAATTAATGATTAAAATTCAGTCATAAATTGAATGACAAATATTTGTATTTCTCTTTAATTTGTCTGAAATATTAGGAGAAAAACAGTGAGAGATATGAATGAAAATGTGTGACTAATTACATGTAAACCATTAAATCATTGGCTTCTTATCCGTCAAACCATTCACTCATTTGTTATGTAATTATCTTTACATAGATTTAAATATTTTTGTCATAATTTATTTTTTTAAATATTTTTAATTATGGTTTGAAATTTAATACTTTTTGTTTTTCAATGACTATATCTGTATAAGTTATACAGTATAACAATAAGTACTGAGTTTTACGTCTACTATAACTATATATGGCTTTAATATTTAGAGATTATCGTATATTTATATACGGAGTGTATATATAGTTATATATAAGTTATATATACCGACAAAAAGGGTCTTAAGTTTATCGGATGTCTTAAACCTCAGACCAGACCCAACACTACAACAGCCAATGCTAGCGCTATTTGGGTTAACAAACAGTCTATACCACTAGTATTGGTAGTGTTTAGCCATTAACTGAATTAATTGATTAAATATTCACACATTTTATAAATAATATCTCATTCGCGAGACTATATGACTACCAGTGCTCTGATTATAGGCCACACAGAAATAGTTTTCATTCATATCTCATTAGTGTTAATACTATGGTATTGTGCGATAGTATTTGTAAAACGATTTTCCATATGCTTTATAACGGGTCAGATGTGTGTATGGTTTAGGGGTAGGGATGCGGTGGTGATGGGGGCCACCAGAATAGTGACACGACTTGTCCTAACACACAGTCCTTATGTGCTTTGCATTAAAAAAGCGTGCATTTCCTGTCACCATATGTTACTAATGTGTTGTTTAATACTTGTGTTTCGCTCTCTATTATAGACGGTCTCATCCAAACAGCACATCCGAAGCAATACTAACACTAATAGCAATAGGAATACCAATGCGAGAAAGCCGTCGCCGGACGGAGGCATCTATTTTGACGAAGACTTGCCCATCGATGACGAGGGAGAGGGCAGTGGTTCTAACTTTGATGACACCGAGACCTCGTCCGGTAAGGGCGACGACGACGAAGACTCGCCGTTGATTCCGGGCGCCAAAGAGGGCTCCGGAAGCCACCCGATGGTGACCACCGGTGGCAGCAGTTCTACTAGTAATCCAAATACTGATGACGAAGACGAGGGCGACACCGATGACGACGACTTTGGCTCCGGAGGTATTTTATTACCGCTTTTGTCTTATATTACTGAAACATATTTGTGTTTTCCGGCACTTCATTTGATACATAATATAATGCAATATTTGTTTTTTGTGTCTATATTTAGACGACGACTTCGAGTCATTCATATCATCCACAGAGAGACCAACGATACGACCAGACGTTACGCGAGCGCCGATTGTGCCCACACATGAGGTTTATATCGTTTTTTTACTGTTGAATAATTTATATCCTTTGGAGAAAAGCCATTATTTAAAACTGAAAATTGATTTCTCGTTTCGATAATTTATAGCACAAGCCTTTAGATCCAATCGACGAGCCGTTCGATAATAGTGTGCCTAAAGAACCCTTCCCTCCAAAGGTGTTGACGCCCAGCGAGACGTCCACCAGATATCCATTGCCGGCGTCGACACAATGGCCGCATCCGCCGCGCGGCGGTCCGGCCGACACGGAAGACGACGGCAACCAATTGGGAAACGACGTGTCGATTATGGGTCAGAAACAGGTGACGCCGGCCTCGTTCTTCGCCCGACCCGGTATTCTCGCAGGTATTGAATTGATTTATTGCACCAAACCTTTTATGATACAAACCATTTGAGATACGAATCTAGTTATTGATTGATGTCTTTGTCTCTCTCTCACTGTTTCTCTCGCTCTTCACTCCAATTCACTGACGCTTTTTTTGTGACCTCTTGTGTGCGCTCACAGCTGTGATAGGAGGGGCTGTTGTCGGACTTCTTTGTGCCATTTTATTAGTTATGTTTATTGTATACCGAATGCGAAAGAAAGACGAGGGAAGCTATGCGTTGGATGAGCCCAAACGCCAGACATCAGTCAACCCATACGCCAGGGGCTCTTCCAAAGAATTTTTTGCCTGAACTCCACTCTCTATGGACTCCGACCTACCAGTGCTTCAGTGGTGGTGTTATAACTCGCTTACGGAATGTATTATTTGATTCAGAAATGTACTGAAAAAACACATAAACTCAACACAAATACCTATTATGTAAAGACATGGGACGACCCGTTCGTGTGATTATTTTGTGAATTTAATTGTTATCAACAAAAAACATAACACAAACTCTCACTGGAGTTAGACATTGGATTTGAACGTATGTTTGATTTGTTGCAAAATCACTGAATTGACTATTGGTTTGATTTAATAATCGCATCACTATTACCGACAAAACACGTGACGGACTCATGAATTATCTACTCTTCAATAACTACTAATAATTTAATGAAATGTAATAATCAAAGAAACTATTGATTTGTTTTTATTCACATAAAAACATGTCTCCAAATGACAACCAAAATCATCGACAGCTATACATATATTGAAGACAGCATTCATATTATGAATATTAATATATAATAATTATAACCCAAAAATCATTTCTACAAATTTCACCGAAAAGTCTCTTCAATTTAATTGATAATTATTGCTATTATTTGTTGTAATACTTATGCTATATATTCTCACTGAAAAATGTGGTGAAAGTGCCCATCGATGCAGCTATTGATCTATTGGTTACTCTATTTATATATATTTCTCTCTTTTACTAATCGTTTTGGTAATTATTTTTCTCGCAAACAAAACCAAACATTTTCTATTGAAACCATTTATTGAAATTAATTTATTCGTAGAAAAATAGATGAAAAATACTAATTATGTAATATATGAAAGGCTGACGGATAGCGTCGGCCACCCCTGAAAACTCTCATATCCTATACTCTAATATCAATTGACAAATACTTTTAGTCCAAAAATTCTTGAAATACAATAAACAGAAAACTCTTATCAAAGCAAAAGACATATGAAAGACATTCCACACAACTATATATATTGAATACCTATTTATCCCGAATTCATATCGAAAGCCCTTTTCTATTCGTTTTCGTAGAAAATATATGAAAGAGTTTATCGCATAGTAAGGTATATCCTATTCATCAAATATAACATTGACCACAAGTTTAAATTAGTAAATAATTGTAAATGCATAAGTTGTTAATGTAAACTCATTCATTGAGTAATGGTATATACCTTACTATGCGATAAAGTCTTTCATATATAAAGAAACAGTTTTTGCATCAAAAAATATTTTACAATAAGTTTGTAAAAAGCGATTACCAATTGAATGAATGAATGAATTTAATAATGTTTTCTTGATTTTTATGTATTTATGCAATACTTTTTAGAGTACAATATAGTAATAATTATTGAGTTTTTTTCTACACTTTTTTCACACAAATCACAAGAATTAGGTGCGAAAACACGCGATAAGTAGTGTTTCAAAAGACAAGTAGTTTTAACGCTACAGAAAATGCTATAATTAAGTAATAAATTGAAAATAAATAGAAATTAATATTTAATTTATAAGAATTATGAGAATATCGAAAGACTTGTTAAATAGTATATATAATTATGATATAATGTGATGTCTATATAATAGCGAAATATTTCTTAAATCAAGTTATTTCTCTCTTTTTTAACTTTTAGATTATTTTAACTGAAGATTATTTACACAATTAAAGCCATATTTTTAGTTTAATTAACAGAAAAACCATTAAAACACTGTTTAAAGCCTTATTTTAAGCGAAATCCTAAACCGCTTTCTAGTCCTCGTGAGAATCGGTATGACATGAATGGTGTATACATTTAATGTGGACTCGAAATCAATGCTTAAATTTTATATTTTAATTTGAATTTTAAATATAATTATATAATTTTAATTGAATAATCAGTTTTTCTCATTAAGCGATTTATTTATTGAAACCGACGATTAAATAGTTTTGAAAATTATTATGACTTAAACTGTATTATTGTGTAATTCATAGAAATTGTTGTGCATTTTAAATGATCGCAGCTATACTTCTGGCATAAAAACGACTATTTTTTGTTTTTCCTATAAATTTCTCTCTATTTATGATTTATATATAAAGAAATGTGTTGTTTATAAAGAGAATCACATATTTCCTCGGATTCCGAACAGAATTTTGTATATATTGTGTGAAAAGTAAACTAAAAAATGAATGAATGATAAAAAACAAATTCAAATAAAAATTTCACAATCATTTTGTATTACATTCTCTTTTGTATTGATTTAATTGATTATTGTTTTCGTTGTTTTACATATAAAACAATGGTTTTTGGGTTTTGCTGTTGTGTTGATTCAATTGTTACCATTTATGGATTGTTTAATATAATACGGTTCGCCCATTCGGCTAACTCTAATCAACATGCTAATTCATCTCTCTCTCTCTCTCTCTCTCTCTCTCTCT